TTCCCAGACCCCCGGAAGGATCCTTGAAACCCTAAACCCTAAACCCTAAACCCCTAAACCCTAAACCCTAAACCCTAAACCCCTAAACCCTAAACCCTAAACCCTAAACCCTAAACCCTAAACCCAAAGCCTTTAAGGGCTCCTTAAAGGGATCTCTGGGGCTTTAGGGTTCTAGAAGGGTTCAGGGTTTAGGATCTAGAAAGTCGAACCCTTAATTTGGGACCCTAGCTATAATTAAAGGGTACTCTATTTCTTAAGGGATCTACTTTCGAGATCCTCCCGGGGGTCTGGGTCTTTCTTTGGGGGGGACGACTGCGAGTGTCAGAGCTTAGGGTCTATAGGGTTTAGGGCTTTTAGGGTTTAGGGCTTGGAGTCTATAGGGTTTAGGGTTTAGGGTCTAGAGGTTTCCGGGCTCAAGGTCTAGGAGGGCTTTTAGGCTTTAGAGTCTAAGGCTTTTGGGCTTTAGGGTTTAGGGCTTTTGGGGTCCAGGGCTGTTAGCGTTTAGGGTCTAGGGTTTAGGGCTTTTAGGGTTTAGGTTTAGGGTTGGGCATAAATAACTAACAACTTAACATTTTGAAGGTCCCCTATATTGTAATTATAGTAGAGTCTACCCCTCTGAAGGCCCCTATAGTAAGGTCTTTGATGTAGTTTAGTTCGGGTTTGGGGATTTTCAAGTGATTATGGCCTTCACCCTAAACCCTAAAAGCCCTAACCCTAAACCCTAAACCCTAAACCCTAAACCCTAAACCCTAAGCCCTAAAAGCCCTAAACCCTCGTTTACGGCTGAAGGGACGTTAGGCTGTGGGGTGCAAGGCTTGAGGCTTCCATTTCAGGACGCCGCCGCGAAGCTTCGGGGTTCGACGTTGAAGGGCGAAGATATTTCGGTTTAGGGTGTGTAGTGTTTGGGGCTTAGGGTTTAGGGGTTAAGGGTTCAGGGGTTTGGCGGTTTAGGGTTTAGGGGTTGAAGCTTTCTACCACTACGGAAGCTCGCAGTTTTGACCTGCCTGGTCTTGGCAGTGAAGATCGTTCCCCTGTAATGTAGGGGCCTTCATAATTCTATACTGTTTCGGAGGGCTCGTTATTACCGTTCCAGAAGCCTCCAAGCGCAAGCCTAAACCCTAAACCCTAAACCCTAAACCCTAAACCGCTAGCCTAAACTCAAACCACAAACCGTAACATCCCTTCACGAATATGGGGGCCTTAACAAGTCTCGAAAGCAGTTTAAGGGTTCCTTATCGTAGTTATATAGGGTTTAGGGTTTAGGGTTTAGGGTTTAGGGTTTAGTATAATGTGCCCCAAAACCCTATTCTGATTGTAAAGGCCCCTACGTTGACCTGAACCCTGAAGCCTAGCCCCCCCCCCCCATCTACCCGAAACCCTATACAACCCTTACAGTGCTATTAAGGGTGGCATTAAGAGTTCCTTTAATTTTTAATGGCACCCTTACTTGTACCCCAAGCCCTAACCCCGGATCACGGGGCCATCCCGGCGTGATACATCACCTGTAAAGTCCACACTGAGATTTCAACGCTTTTCGGTTGGGTTCAGGGCCTCCGGATTTATGGCTTGAGTCTTGAAGCTTCTCCCCTCCTTTACCCAAATCCTCAACCCCAAACCTTAAACTTCTCCCCACCTTGGACCAAAAAACTACCAAGAGCAAACAGAACCATAGCACTTCTGATCGGCCTCACCCTCCGAGGCGCGGGAACGAGAAGCCTCGGACGACATTTGCTAAACCCTAAGCCGCCCTAAAGCCTACAACCGCAAAGCTTAGGGTTTAGGGTTTAGGATTCTTGAACTCTGAATCCTAGAGCCCTGCAGCCCGAAACCAGCAACAACCCAACTCCTAAAATCCGGTTCAAACTTGGAGTTCGTCTGCGAGACCTCCGCATGTCGGCGACGAACGGCTATGAGTCACAGTGCCGAGAAACCTTAACCGCAAGCCGTTGACCCTAATATAGGGGCCTTAATAAGTAGAACAGGGTTTTGAGGCCCATGAACCTATGTTTATAATAAGAAGCTCTTAGGGTTTAGGGTTTAGGGTTTAGAGTTTAATAATAACATAGGTAATTGTTGAGGCCCATTAAACTATGTTTATAAAAAGGAGCCCCCAAAATGGCATAGGTAATTGTAACCCTAAACCCTAAACCCTAAACCCTAAACCCTAAACGCTCTCAAAACAAGACTCGAAAGTCCGGAACCCGAATGCTCCCAAGGCTCTCAACCTGAAGCCACTACTTGGGTAGTTCTCCAAATTCGGGTTATTTTGGGGGTTTAGGGTTTAGGGTTTAGGGTTTAGGGTTCTCCTCACAAAACAAGTACAAATTGGTTCCCATTTCTTTTCCCGCCCGCTGTGAGCTTGCACAGGCTACCACCCAAAATATGAAGATTTGGGTTTAGGGCTGGCGCCCTCAATACCCACCTCCCCTGCAGTACTACAAACCCTAAACCCCTAAACCCAAAAGCGGTAAACCTCGAACCCTCAGGCAACTGGAAGCCCAAAGCCCCAAAGCCTAAACCCCTGGCTAAACCCCCTAAACTTCCTAAACCCCCTAAACCTCCAGCTAAACCTTAAACCCCCTAAACCCCCTAAACCCCCTAAACTTCCTAAACCCCCTAAACCCCCTAAATTTCCTAAACCCCTATAAAGCCCCTAAACCTCCAGCTAAACCCTAAACCCCCAACGCCTCAAGCTAAACCCTAAACCCCCTAAACTTCCTAAACCCCCTAAACCTCAAGCTAAACCCTAAACCCCCTAAACTTCTTAAAACCCCAAAACCTCAAGCTAAACCCTAAACCACCTAAACTTCTTAAAACCCCCATAACCCTCAAGCTAAACCCTAAACCCCCTAAACTTCCTAAAACCCCTAAAGCCCCTGAACCTCAAGGTAAAACCCTAAATCTCCTAAACTTCCTAAAGCCCCCTAACCGTCCTAAAACCCACGGTGAGTCCTTATTTTGGGGTCCTTATAATAAGGATCCTACTATTTAGAGTACTATATTAGGGTCCCCTATTTTCGGAAACCCCCATGTATTCATATAGTGTATACATTGGCCCCAAAGTACCTATATAGGGACTACTTTAAGGCCAAAGTATCTACTATTTGGGCACATGGACCCTTATAACCCTAAACCCTAAACCCTAAACCCTATACCCTAAACCCTATATACCCTAAACCCTATACCCTAAACCCTTATACTATTTGGGTACATGGACCCTTAGGGAGGTCCCCTATTTTCCGAAACCCCCATCTCGGCCGCGGGCCGCCTCCGGTTCTGCCGCGTTGGTCTGGAGGTGAAAATGCTGCTTTTCCCGGGTTTTAGGGTTTTTAGGTTTTAGGGTTTTAGGGGTTTAGGGTTTAGGGTTTTAGGGTTTAGGGTTTAGGGTTTAGGGGTTTAGGGTTTAGGGGTTTAGGGGTTTAGGGTTTGTTAGGGTAGAAGCCTTAACAATTAGAATCGGATTTTGGGGCCCATCATACTATAACTATGAGAAGGAACTCCTAAAACACTATTGGTAATTATTTAGGTCCCTATATTCGGTGTGTTTCGGCCGGAACCCTCAAAGTTTGAGGATTTACATAGGCATTTAGGGATTATAGGGTTTCACAAGGTGTTTTGGGGTTTTATAGGGTTAGTCGTCTATACAGTCTATACACACTTTCACAATGTCTTCGGGTTTTATGGAGATTTCTAGGATCTGTTCAGGAATCCGGGATGGGCTCGGGGCCTGGCGCTTTTTGGGGCTTGGGGCTTAAAAGCTTGCACATACAAAGATCCGCAAGAAACTTGCAAAGGCCCCAGCCCCCCCCCCTCTCTCCCCTTTCAACACTAAGACCTAAACACCACCCTAAACCCTAAATCCAACCCTAAACCCTCAATCCTAAACCCTCAACCCCAAACCCCCTCAACCCTAAACCATAAACACCAGAAAGACCCTGAGCAGGGCAGGTTCTAAGACTCCCGATGATTCGCGGGCAGACACGGGGTCAACCGGGGAACCCTGCGGGATGTGATTTGTGTTGGCAGCCCGTGAGGAATCAGGCTTCTATGTTAGTTTAGGGTTTAAGTTTATAGAGTTTGGGGTTTAGGGTTTAGAGTTTAGGGTTTAGAGTTTAGGGTTGAGGGCTTAGAGTTTAGGGTTTAGGGTTTAGAGTTTAGGGTGCTATGTTGCAACCAGCTATTGCAGGGAATACATGGTCTGCCGAAGTTTTTTATTCCAAAACCGCCCACGCATGAACTCGGAAAGAAACTGGCATCGCCATCTATGACGCGAATACACCCACCCAACCCTACTGCAAACATCACGGCCCCGAAACACCGGAACTCCCTAAACCCTAAACCCTAAACATCTGCACTCACAGAGATAGATGTTTTTGGCAGGCCTCTTCGAACTCCACGACGCGATTGCGGGCCTTGCCGGTGCAAAAGCTAGGGATACTTATCCGGGTGTAGGGTCTAGGATTTAGGGTTTAGGGTTTAGGGACTTATCAGGGGTCACAGATGTACTACATGTGTTGGCTTTGGCAGTTCGTACGGCAAGTACAGCTATTCTCAGGTTGAGCCCATGGGCCCCTAGTTTGGGCCCTCAACCCTGGGATCCCTATACACCTAGTATATACCCTATATCTACCCTTAAGGGTCCCTAGAAAGGCCTAGGGGTCCATGTTAGGGGGCATACTTTTAACCTTAGAGCTATGCAGCAGCAGAGGGGACGCGACACTGCCAGCTCTAGTTGCTTGGTTCCTACAAGATCAGCTGCACATCCTGAGGGTGCAGATGATCGGAACTTAAAACAAGGGGTCTGTTTAAGGGTTAGGGTTTAGGGTTTAGGGTTTAAGGCGTTTATTGTTGAAACAACTTGTAATCGAGCCACGACTAGCTTTCTCTAGATGCCTCTCTTTTCCCGATAAACCCTGAACGTCCTCACCCCTGGAGACTGGACCCTGAGCCCCACACCGAACCTGTGGCTAGTTCTCTAAATTAGGGTCCCTTTTTAAGTCCCCAATATAGTACGGCACCCTTATAAAAAAAACCCTACAGGAACCCTAATTTAGAAAACTACCCATATTCACACGCAGAGATTTGGTCGCCGAGCTTCGAAGGTGTGCTAAGCATCACGATCTCAAACCCTCAGCCAAGTGGAGCAAGTTACACTCGGACCACGCACTGCGCCTCCCAACGAACAACAACACACATACAATCGCACCCCTTGTCTACTCATTCAGGGCTTCGTCTTAACACTCACCAGCGAACTAGCCATTCGGGCGGCCCTACATCAAGCTTGTTCTGTGCTTGTGCGCTTAGCTGAGCCCTGGATCCTGCACCCCCAAACTCTGACTACACTGACTACGCGCGGAATAGTAGTCGCCGTCGCCGTCGTCGTCGAAATTAATAGTAGAAACGGTAGCAGCAGCACCAGCAGCATCAGCATCAGCATCAGTAGTTGCAGTAGCAATAGCAGTAGCAGTAGCAGTAGCAGTAGCCGTGGTAGTGGTAGTGGTAGTAGTAGTAGTAGTAGTAGTAGTAGTAGTCGTTGTTGTTGTCGTAGCAGGAGCAGGAGGAGGAGCAGGAGCAGCAGTAGCAGGAAAAGCACCGCAGCAGCAGAAATTGTCGTGGTGGTGGTCGTGGTGCCTGATAAGTAGTCATAGTGCCAGCTACCGAAATTGTCGTAGCATTGGTCTCGTTGTTGCTGTTGCTGTTGCAACCGCTTGTACACTTATTCTTGATTTCGGTGTGCTATGATTACTAAGAATGTTGAAATTTGGGTGTTTATTACTGATTGCACTTCTTCTGGAAACCCTGAATACCAGCCTCCAGATCCTAATCGTTTCTTGGCCATGCTGCCAGAAGGCTTCTAGCAGCCTCAACTGCTTCCTTAGCATTGGTAAGACAGCCAAGCTAAGCTGGTGTGGATTTGATACTTCAGAATCCTTCTGCTTGCTGCCACCCTTTCGATTAGCATTGTCATGTCATTCCAACTATTGATGCCACTGTTCAACGTCTGTTTCAGACTCATGCCGTCATGGTGATTCAACCGGTGTTTCATGTAGACGCCTGATGACTACGTTACACCCCCTAAACCCTAAACCCTAAACCCTAAACCCCAAACCCCTAAACCCCTAAACCCTAAACCCCTAAACCCCTAAACCCCTAACCCGTATAGCAGCACCTATAGATCCCTTTAAGGATCCCTTTAAAGGAACCCCTAAACCCCTAAGCCCCCAAACCCTAAACCCTAAACCCTAAACCCTAAACCCTAAACCTCCTTAAATTAAGGATCCCTTTAAAGGAACCCCTAAACCCCTAAGCCCCCAAACCCCAATCCCTCCCCACCTGCGCAGGCTGGGCCGGAGGTGAATCTGGCGGAACTGGCTCGTCTCCTTACTTCGCCAAGAAGCCAGGGAAATAAGGGGTTTAGGGTTTAGGGTTTAGGGTAGGGTTTAGGGTTTAGGGTTTAGGGTTTAGGGTTTAGGGTTTAGGGTTTAGGGTTAACTTTCAGATTACTACTAAGTTATAAGAACCCAAAAAGTTTAAAGGTTGGGTATTGGGGAACCAAGTCTCTGAAGTTAGCGCTGTCAAAGGCATCGTCGTCCAGGAAAACGTTTCGGTTGTTGTCCTGCGCAGGTCGAGGCCGTGCAGGGTTTAGGGTTTAGGGTTTTGGGTTTCGGGGTTTAGGGTTTTAGGGTTTCGGGTCGTTTCAAACTTGGATCTCAGTTCCGGCTTTTCGAAGTCCTGGATGGCAGAGCTGAAGCAGAGCTAATGTAGGGGGCTTAATAATTAGAATAGGGCTTGGGGGGCATATTGTACCATAATTATAATAAGGAACTCAGTAACATTGGTAATGATTTTGCCTTCTATATTACACCCACCAGAATGGATGCACCGTTAGATACTTCGGCACTTGAAACCAGATATCTGATCTGCAAAAACCTGCTCGGAGTTGTGTCTGTTTAGAGTTTAGGGGTACTTTTGATGGGCTAAACATAGATGCTAGCTGTGGGGTTCAACATTCTCAGCAAGAGCCCTGAACTGCGCATTCTTAACAAAAGCCCGGTCCTTTAAGGTCGTTCCCTTGTCCCCTAAACCCGAATCCCTGAACCCAACACCTAAACCCTGAACCCTAAACCCTTTTTGCAGCAGGCTTCTCTCGCCCGGAACCCTAAACCCTAAACCCTGAACCCTAAACCCTCAATCTGAGAACCTAAATCCTAGTCAACCCTTGCAGATCTACGAGGCTTCCAATCTAAGGTTAGAAGTATCCTTGTATAGGCCTTTCCAAGGACCCTTACGGGTACATATAGGGTATATCTTAGTAGGTGTAAAAGGATCCCACGTTTCAGGGCCCATACGCACCGCCTGACGGCACGAACGGCCAAGGCACGAATCTCGTCCAAGATCCTACATCACCCCATGAACTTCTACAAGTCCCTACAGCGCTTTTAGGGTTTTGGGGCTTTGGGTTTAGGATTTAGAGGTTTAGGGTCTAGGGTTCAGCAAGCCTCGTAAGACCCTGCAATACTTTCCGGAGCACATCCTTTCCTCAACCCTAAACCCTAAACCCTAAAGCCCTAAACACCCCGGCTCCTCTGGTACTTCAACGTCTGGCTGAGGCGGACCTCAGCTGAAGCATTCGGAAGCCAGGCAGCCGAAAAACAGCGACAGTAAACCCCCAAAAGTTGGAAACCGGGTGAAGGAGAATTAGTGCTGGGCTTCCCTATACACTACGCTTAAGGATTAAAGCTATTGGGCTTCCAACTTTTGGGCTTCTACAGTATTTTTACCACCTTGCTGCACCGCAACGCAACTTAACGAGCCCTCTATACTTTGAAATCCTCAGTTGAGAGCTTGTGGAGACTGTCTTGGAACATCCGAGCGACACGAAGCCATTTTGGAGGTGTACGTACTTTGAGCAGGGTGTTGGGGAGTGTCATGCTAGAGGAACACTACTACGACTACTACGACTACGACTACGACTACGACTACGACTACGACTACGACGACGACGACGACTACGACTACGACTACGACCACGACCACGACCACGACCACGACTACGACTACGACGACGACGACGACGACGACGACGACGACGACTACTACTACTACTACTACCACTACTACTACTTACTCCTTATCCAGGCCCCTGCATTGCCCTATGTACTCACTACTCTT